TAGCTGTTTCGGACACGGCCTGAGTGTCATTCACAGAGGCAACTTTGATGTACACGTACTTCATGTACCAGTTGTAAAAACGTCTTTTCCCCCAACAACCTTTTTTTCTAAATGCCCCACTGAATTGAGCATTAAAAAATGTTTTGTAGAAAAAGGAACTTTGAAAAAGTTGCAAAACAGACAAGTTTGGGCCATTTTTGACTACAAATCATAACAGGGCCGACGCGAATTTCAAATAAAAATATCAGTCAAAACCACACCAGCTGTCCAGTGCTCATGTGTGAGGAATAGGACGCTTACAGTGGAAAAATGCAATCAATTATTGTAATTTGGCCAGCGGAACAGACTAAGAAGATCTCTGCATAATTGTGGAAAACAAACAGCCTGAGCAAGCCTGACTAGACTCAAATATCCAGATAACTCAAGCCACAAAATACATGTACATGTACATGTAGATGTATGTAACCGTATACAGTGGTGTAAGTTTACAGGCTGGGCATGGACATCCCACATTTAGTGAACATGTTTATTTAGCCATGCCCATGTACCAGTATAGTTTACATTGTATATAACCTTATTTGCAGATGATACGTACATGTACAGGCTTCCTCATGATGTACGGTACATGGGTATATGTTTGTATGTTTCTGCTCATCGTTGACATGTTGGCATCTTTCATACATGTACATGTACAGTGTACATAACTTTCGAACATGCGTGGAACATGTGCGATACATATGTATTAAGGTTAGAACTTGAGGCACACTAGTCTTGGTACACGTACAAGACATCCTCAGCGCAGAAGTGCTTTACAGTGTATCTGGTGATATTGGTACATTGCTCTCCTCAGTGATTACTCAATAGAGGGCGCTTAACTGTTCTTGGCTGACCAGGTGCCGGGCGATTCATCCATGTACAGTACATGTATGTCTGTGAACATGCGAGCATGTATGGAACGCCCTTTTATTTAGGGTGTGTTTGGAAGACTGATGTGATGATGGCACGAGTGCCAGGCAGTCATGCAGTGCGACAATAGCACCAAGAATGTCTTGCACGAAGACTAGGGGCGCACATGTAAATATTCTCCTCCTTACGTACAATTTAATATCCATGGAACCATGCTTGCTATTAGCCTGAAGTTAGACAAGGGCCGTTTTCCAATACTCAACTTGGGCTCCGTCTCAGGCTTCAACTGTTGTTTACTGGCTGCCTTTGAAGCTGTAAGCGCAGTAATCAGTCTAATAAAGCCAGAGAACATCAAATAAGATGCAAGAGAGCCCAAACTTACAGTAATCCAGTGTAATTTAAACGCTCCAGGCCCACAATCGGGGATTGGTTTTGGGAACGAAGCCTGAGACGAAGACAAAGTTGAGTATTGGAAAACAGCCAAGGTGCTTCATTACAGTTCAGTTTTTCTTGAAAAATGCTCAGTTAGTGCTGAACTGAAATGCTTTGCTCTTTGAAGGTACATGTACATACGTAAATAACTCCATTTCTATAGTCAGGTATTTTTAAGCTATTCTGTAATTTTTTTCTTCTTTTGTTAATTCCCTTTTTTGGCAATACGGCCGTTTCACAAGAGTGCGCCACCAAGAGTTTGCAACATGTTGGCGAATCACAATGCACAAAATTAGTCGACCCAATGCATGTTTGGAAAGGGTCGACAAATTTTGCGTGTTATGATTGGCTAACGTGTCGCAAACTCTTAGTGCCGCATTATTGTAAAACGGCCGTATTGCCAAAAAAAGGGAATTGAAAAAAGAAGAAAAAAAATTGGTCAGGCAAAAGTTGGGATTTCTTGACAAAAGTTTGTGTGCATTGATGGGTTGATTCTGGTGCTGGATGATAGTTCCTTTATTGAAGTACATTCAAAGCAGGATAACGAGGTACTGATGGAAGAAACCTAGCCCCAAGATTCCAAGAAAGTGGGGGGGGGGTTTATTCAGAAGCGAATGTTATAATGCATTCAAATATCAGCCAGGAATTCTGACTTCAACTGAAATGCTCATCAACCTCTTAGGCATCAATTTGGCATTAGCCTTTGAAATTAGTCGTGTAGCCTCTGTTATGATAAAATTTATAAAGAAATATCGCACAAAATCTTCTAGAACCTTTGTCCTATGTACTTGTACCTGGATATCTGAAATTTATATACCAAGTAATTTGTGTAGATGTAGGTCACGGTTATCTGTCCCAGCATTCAGAAATGGTTCCTGACAGCAGATGGATAGTCGGGTACCGGCACATGGTTCCAATGCACAATCCTACCGGGTACCACTGCAAAAAGTGTACATGCGTAGATCTTCAGTTTACCAGTACTTTGATGAAAGATCAGCATCTGCCAATGATATATTTATCTCCGCCTCATTGATGCCTGCCCTCCTAGCATACATTAAAGCGGTTGACTCTCCTTGAGAGTAACCCCAACATCTTGGAGCAACATCAGTTTTTCACACCCTGTTGACTTCTGCCGTCTTGTGAGGGTTGGATGCCCACGTCCCATAGCCCTGACCAGACCAAGCATTTTAATATCTTTAAAAGGTGAACGTTGCTAATATGAGCAATGACATGTACATGTATAGAACATGTGGGTATGCTGTGCAGTTTACTTATTTATGCATAAATATGTATATGTTATGTAATTATTTAAAACTTCTTGAGAGAAAATACCCGGTACTTGTAAAATACATGTGCTCTGTATTGATAATTCCATGGTGCCTGATTAAAAAGAAAGATAATTATAATTACTTATAATTAGAGAGGTAATGTAAATTAGAGGGGCCTTTCCCTTTCGATTTCTCCTCGTTCCCAGAATTTCTGTCACCCGCAGAAAAATGCCTGGAAATAAGCCCATGTTTCAGTTGATTACAGACTTTGTGCAGGGAAAACAGAGTTCTGGATTTCAGTCCCTGTGTGGAAATAATTCTGCCAGGGATTATCTGCATCATAAATATGCATACTGTTCATGTACTCATGTGAATGTCATTGCACCAGTATACTCGCTGGACAGGACAGGAAGTTCTAGTCAAATCAACTCAAGGGAACCTGAGCCATTTGCTCCCTAATAATAATATGACGCATTTCTGGCAAACCGACCGACCGTCCGTACCATTTTTGCTCCACATTCGTACTGGTTGATTATGTACAAATACCTGTAGTCCTGTACATACATGTATATTTACACATTTTACATTTTTTGAGTGAGCAATTACCCCCAAACAAGGGTCGATACGCTTGCATGCACGCAGGGTACAAGCAAGTCTTGAAGGGTCATTCGGGATAAAGTCATACCTGCCAACTATTCTGATTTAATCGGAATTGTTCCGGTCTGTAAGTTTTCAGACGGCAAACATTTGCAATGTTCAGATTTCTGTAAAAATTTTTTTAAAAAGTCCCGGCAAGAGAGGGCGCTATTGCAGAAAACAGAGGAAGCTATTGCAGTAAATTTGCCATGTCAAAATGGCAATTGATACACACATACGTGTACAATGTACACTGTATGCCCCCGTATATTAATTTATAGCTCCTCTTGTGCAGCTGCTTGTTTTTCTATGGGCTTGTCAAATGGGGTACCAATTTCTGACAATTCAATGTTAGCAGGTACATGTAAGTAGAAATGTAGAACTGGGTGGACCTACAGGCTGTGAGGGTCATAGGTCACGGCAACATAACACATTAAAATCCATGGTATACATTTAGTATGGCCTTGTGGTCAAAATACATGGATGTGACACCATAGGCATTGTTACCTGAAGAACACACAACAGCCCTTGTAAATGACCTGGGGCCAATTTCATAGAGCTGCTTAAGCACAAAATTTGCTTAAGCAGAAAAAAAGGTTTACTTAGTAAACAAAGATTGCCAGCTCAAACTCTGTCAGATTGTTATGCTAACCAAAAAACAGCTTAATACAATCCCAAAACAATATACATCACATGGAGTTTTGGCTGGTCACCTGATTTATCGAGTATTTTTTTCTGGCGCTCAAGCAAATTTTGTGCTTAAGCAGCTCTATGAAATTGGCCCCTTCAGAAATCAGGAAATGTTGGAATGTACTGTGTTCACAACTGGATGTTACTATTGCAATATAACGTAACACAAAATACATTGTGCGGTACATCACAGTAACACATTGAAAAACTACACCCATATAAAGTATTACTGGGTCATCTATAGACATACAAAGAACAAGTTCACATGTAATTGGCCTGATCAACATTGAAAAAAGCTTACTTAAAGAACCCAGCAGTAGTTATTGAAATTTTCGGTAATGAGAAGGTCAGAGAAGTCTGGGATACATGTACATGTACTTGCCCTGGGTATGGTTGTGGGGCAACGTCTTCAGCCTGTTCAGAGGTTGTGTACATCACGTCAAACCTGGCAGTTGTTGTACTTGTAACCACTACTTTTGACACAGGGTTTCCGCGGCCTGGAAAAGTCATGAGGAAGCCATGGAAATTTGATTTTGTTTTCCAGGCCTGGAAAAGTCATGGAATTTTGTAAAAAAGACTAAAGTCATTGGAAAGTCATGGATTTTTTCAAACATTGTATGTGATTTCTGTTATCAGAAATAAGTGCATAAAATGCATGATTTTATTCCCAACTTTAAAAGTCCGAACAGGCCAAGAAATTGCATTATTGGGTCATGGATTTTGATTAATTGGTCATGGAAAAGTCATGGAAAGGTCATGGAATTTAATTGCCCTTTAGGAGCAGGAACCTTGCAGACAGATCCCACACCTGAAAACCATGTGGTTCTCATTATTTGGGTACACTTGGGTGTGTGCTTTGGGAAGTTACGGTGAGAGCCTCAAAATTCTTGGACACTGATGTGCCTGTCTGCAGTCCCCTTGGCTACTGCTGACATGTACCGCAGACATGTTGCATGTGCATTCCCAAGAGATGCATCATGGCAACATCTACATGTATATACACGTATGCATAAACTCATCGTCGGACTTTTCTAACACTTTTTTCCTCTTCTTTTGATATCTCCCCAGGGCCGTCGGTAAGACATGTCTACTGATCAGCTACACAACGAATGCTTTCCCCGGGGAGTACATCCCCACAGTGTAAGTACCAACTGTCGTTGCTCGTTTAAGCTGATTCCCTCGGCTCAAAAACTGAAGTGGATTGCAAAAAGGAACAGTGGCCGAGTTTGTGACATCCTAGCTTGTCGAAGCTGTCGCTAGGCCATTGGGAAATCAGGTGCTTGTCGTTTAAATCACTTTGTGCCCAAAAAAATGATCTATAAAGGTTGGAGAAGAAAAGCAAACTCACTGAAAAGCAAAATCAAGGGCGGTTTTGAGATTGCAAAGGAGTTAGAGGTCCAACTCAAACGATGCCACTTCCTACAAGTTGCCACTTTCTTCTGCAAGTTTTGACTCCAAATTTTGGCGACGTGCACCAGCTGCGCCGTATTTCAAAGATATTTGGATCAATGCGGGCGCGTAATCTTCCAATGAAGATGGTGTCCAGTGAGAGAGATCTGTTTGCAAAATTTGCACAAGATGAAGTGCGTTCATTGTCAGGGAATTCGCAGAGCACTCGCATGAATTTTCATGGTGACCACTTTCGGCAGAAGTGGGGGACCAGGGACCCAAGTACCCTTAAAACATAAGAACACTTATCTTATGGCACTGCTTGCAATCCCAGCGGACCAATTGCCCACATTTGCCCACATTTGCCCACATATTCGTACATACATGGAGAAAGCAGCACATTTTCTGAAGTTTAGAGGGGAATCTCTCCCACCTTTTTATTTAACAAAATGTTACCTTTGATATGTCACAAAAGTAGATCAGTCAATCTCTGAGCCAGATTTATGACCGTGGCATGATAATTTGTCAGCAATTTTGCCCTTCACTATTAAAGTTCACATACATTTTATACTTGGAATTTTCTTTACGTGTACCCAGCCCGAAAATATGGAACCAGGTTTTGATATTGACGGGCAGGTACCCAGCACAGGCCTATTGGTTGTGTGCAGATTAGGGGCTGCTTTGATGCATCTCTGGGATAGGTTGGGTGCAGGGTCCGAGTACTTAGTTTGGTAAAGTTCTTAACAACTTGTTATTCAGCGTGAAGGAAGTGGCTGGCTGCTTTGTGTTGGAAAGCAGCATTGAATCACTTTGTGCACCCCACAAACAGGAACAAAGCCCATGTCTATACTAGCCACACACTCTCATAAATGGTCGTCTGTTATGTCTCATTTTGATGAATAAATATCAGCATTCTGAGGAAGTCTTTTCAACCCACACTGTAATTAATCACACTTTGACAAAAGGAGAAATCAAGGTTGCTGCAGGCAACACTCAAAGTAAACTTGCTGGGAGTTTATTGATAACAACTTCAAAATGTTTTTCTTTGTAAATTCTTTAAAATGTTGCATTTGTTTTTGCCTCCAATTTTCTTCCCTGTTTTCTTCGGCTAGCTGAGAATTTTCAATTTATGCTGATAATACACACTGTGCTTGTGACCAAAATAATGGTGACAGTTTCAGTTCTACCAAATGGAATTACCCTCATCATACTTCATAAAGGAGCCTTTTTTTATCGCTTGACACCTGACAGCCATTAAACAAATGCACAGACTTTGTGTTGGATCCGTAGTTGTCCAGAACAGCCCCCTTAAAATGTCTAGAGAGACAAATGGTATGTACATGTATGCCTGCATACTGGTACCGGCACTGGGCCATGAATGTTGTCTACATTGTATACAGTGGGGGAAGAAAAAACTGAAAACAAACAAACAAACAAAACTGGGGTTTCATACTTAGCATGGATGTTTACACAGTACCATTTGGGCTGTGAAATGTACTTTGTGGCCCCTTAAAGGTACATTTAACATTCAACAATGCAGTGTAACAAAGTACATATGTAGTTAGTCTGCACACAAGGCGGTGGAAGCTCAAGGACAGTTGGAGCGGTGGTTCCTGATGTGTTGGCGCCAACTTCCGGGAGAAAGATGAGGTCATCATATCTGTCCCTGTAGCTGACACGTTTTATTTTATTTTGTTTGGTGATACATGTACATGGACCATGTATGTCATTTACACATGTGCACTTTGCCTTTGGAAAAAATAATGTTCAGTGGATCACTTCAGGAGGATGGTTTCATTACACCATGCGATAAATCAGTTTTTACCTCTCCCACAGAGCCTTACACTTTGCCTTTGGAAAAATTAATGTTCAATGGATCACTTCAGGAGGATGGTTTCATTACACCATGCGATAAATCAGTTTTTACCTCTCCCACAGAGCCTTACACTTTGCCTTTGGAAAAAATAATGTTCAGTGGATCACTTCAGGAGGATGGTTTCATTACACCATGCGATAAATCAGTCTTTACCTGTCCCACAGGGCTTGCTTGATTTTAGCACTGACTGGTTAATTTAATCTCAATACACATGCAATACGGTGCACATGTACAATGTACAATGTCCCTCTATTTGAAAAACACATTTCTTGAAAATTTACCGGTGCTTTTTCAAACTACCGGGGGTACAATGTACTTCTTCGCAAAATGTTTGAACCCAGTTCCGTAGCGTAGCTCTGTGGAATGCGCTCGATGCACAGGGCGCATGCCAATATTATGCATTTGCATACGGTGCCAGTGGTCAGTTCTTCAGTTTCTATGGGTATGGTAGCTTTAGTTGGAATTATTTATGCCATGTGACTATCTTTTTGGCCAATCAAGATACAGAATCTGTAGTGCAGCTGTTATGTACAGGTACATGTATGTACAGATATTGACTACATGTATTTCACGTGGTATAGTAGACTAGCCTTCAGAAGTGATGAGTCTTGGGGCGCACATATATATTCCCAAATCATAGCTAAGGGAATGTATGTAATCAGTGCTCTGTATATTACAAGCAGAGACCACATGTTCATGCATGCACATGTACAGGTGCAATAGTTCACTACTCGGTTACCAGTAGATATTCGGTGCGTGAAAAAAAAGGTCCCTGCTCATCAGTATTTGCTTTGCAGTGCCTCAACAATTGTGTACAGTTCCAGAGAAGCTTAAACTACAAACTTGTACCGTATTTTATAAACATTAATGCATTAATGTCGGCCATTCCTTGCAAAAATTAGTAAATGTGACGAATGTGCATTCACTGAAGTATAAAATCGTTTCTTGTTCATTTTTAATTATTCATTTTCAGTGAAAGTTTTTATACCCTTGTCTTCATATTTTTGTAAGTGTGGTGCTCCGTGGATTGCAGTGAATAATCTCTTAATTTTTCCCTTTTGATATCGAACTTGTAGGTTTGACAACTACTCTGCCAATGTGATGGTGGACGGCAAGCCAATTAACTTAGGATTGTGGGATACGGCGGGACAGGAAGACTACGACAGACTTCGGCCACTTTCGTATCCACAGACAGTAAGCCAGAACTTTTTCATCTTTGGTACAATGCATCAGTACGCGCTGCGTTTGTTTTTAAGTGATTGAGACTTGCCTGGGGTATGTTGTGGCATTCATAACCAGGAATTGGTTTCGGTTGTAATTCGTCCAGAGATTTTCTTTGGATATTTTAGCAGTGTAAGAGTTACACTTCATGATGTAGTTATGCAAATTATGAAAGCATTTAGCCGAAGAAGAAGCAAACCGATTTTTGTTTTTGTACTCCCAAATGCTTTTATTTAATTTTTTTAATGATGTCAGAGCGAAAAGAAATTGGTATTTTTTGCAAGGAGGCATGTGGCAAAAGCTGTTCTTTTGCAAGTCTCAATAAGTTACTAAAAGACAAGAATGCATCAACAAAAAAGGTCCAAATTTTCAGATATCATGCAAGCCTCGACTTCGGCACCAAGACTGGTGTGTAATTCTTGTAAAAATTGTGGAGGGCTTGTGAGATGCATTCGTGTACATTGTACTTGCCTTGTGAGGTAGTTAAGAATTACCCACTCATTTGAAAGTTTGATTGTACGTGTTGTTTGTTATTTAATTGTTACTGTTTTGAATCCTTCGCATTTCGGCTTTGACAGCAAGACTGCACACTAACATTTGAAAAGCCAGTCAAAGATATTTTTGCTAAAAAATTCCCAGTGGACAAGCAGAAATTCCTGAAAGAAAGGCCAGTAAAAAATAGGTTAACCTGCCCAGTGGGCTGGCTGAAAAGCTTAGATGTTCAAGGCCTGGATATACATTGTGTCATCGTTCTGAAGCATTTGCATGTATTAGACTTTGCTTCCATTGATTTTAATTAATTTATAGAAAATCCTATAGGCTGTATTGTCTTAGTTTCTGCATCTCCTCCCCTCCCCCCATTTCCACAGGATGTCTTCCTTATCTGCTTCTCCCTGATGAGCCCCGCCTCCTTTGAGAACGTCCGGGCAAAGTGGAACCCCGAGGTCACCCACCACTGCCCCAACACGCCCATCATCCTGGTGGGCACCAAGCTGGACCTGCGGGATGACAAAGAGGCCATCGAGAAGCTGAAGGAGAAGCGGCTGTCCCCAATCACCTACACCCAGGTCAGTCGCAGGGCTGGATTTTGGCTAGGCTGTCCTGGGCTAATCCGGTTAGGACAGACTGTACTCACAAAGTCATGTGACCTATCTGCCTCGAGCAGAAGCACCTCCTTATCAGTTGGAAAGAGTCGTATTGATTGGGAGCGTTCATTTTGTTGTCAGCGATGTGACCGTGACCATCGTTCTTGAACCAGCGAAGGTCAGTTCCGACCAAAGTAGCCTCCATTGTTAAGAAAATAGTGGCCTCTCTTGGTCTGGCTCGAGGCCCATAGTTACTAATTTCCCTCTGAAGCCTATGTGTATAGGTCACATGACTAAGTGTGCACGGTCAGTCTGTTGTCAACCAGTGGTTGATATTGACTGGTGACCTACGCATGAGATGTATACCAGGGCACCAGGCAAACTGCCACTGATTGAACTCGGCACTTGCGGTTGGGATCTTTTCCAAGATCTTTCTGATACCATAAAGGACACAGAAGAAGTTGCAACTCTGGCACTTCAAAGTGTTCAATGATGGTCGCTGCCGAGTCAGACAAAGAATAGAAAACACTCCAAAAATGCCTGATTACTGCCCACATCACATCTTAGCCGGACAAGCGGGGTCGGTAATATCTTAGCAATACTTGTAGTTTTTGCTGGCAATTAAATATAAATTATCGCTGTGACCAGGAAATAGAGAGAGAAAAATCCCTGATATTTTGCCATGGTAAATAAACTTTTAAAATTTTGATACACTGTTCCATTATCCATGCAAAGCTTGTAATTTTATTCTCCTCCCTCCAATACATCAGTGTTCAAAGACTTGGTGCGAATTGGCTCAGACTGGCCAACAGAATGTTGACATTTACAGGGAAGCTAAGTTCATTAGTAACAAAATGTGCTATTTCATCACCAGGAGTGATCGTGAAATCTCATAAAATACGCTTTTGTACAAATGCCATAGTAAAAATGATTCAAAGAAGACACAAAATCTTTAAACAACCCGGCTATTTATTCCCAAAATAACTCCAGAAGAAAGAGCTCATTAAGGGCTAAGACTGCACATATAGATTTAGGGCACATGGCGCAATGCAAGCAACTGCATATTTAAATTTAATGTTGTCATGAGATCATACCAAGTACCAACAAAGGCATGAGTATTCAATTTCCTATACCTCAGTGTACAAAGTTTTAAGGATGTGGATTACCAGCGACAAATTGCGGTGGCGATCACAGGGTACAAAGGGGTTTTGTGGTTGTGAAACAGATGGTGCGTAGCAAGCGTTCGCTACGCTCTGGCTATGCACATACGAGGCATGCCCGAAAGCGGTTATTGGCCAGATGTAACAGCCCGGGCAGTTCAAACTCCTTCTGTGTCCTTCCTCTATGCTGATACCTTGTACACCTGCCTACAAGGATGGATCCAGAACCACATTTTCAGGGGAGGGACCAAGCTTGGGGTTTTTTTTGGGGGGGGGACAAAAATTGGGAATTTTTTGGTGTAATCTGTTAATGCCTTTCTGAGAGGTGAGGCTACACTCGGGGCTTTTTGACACTCTTTGGGAAGGATGGGAAATGAAATAGACCCCACAAATCGCCCTTTTCTCATTTTCAAACAAAATGTTCAATTTCTGGGAAGAGGACTTGGTCCTGTGTTCCCCCCCCATCTGCTCTTGACTGCTAATCTAATGGAATGTTAGATCTGAGTCAAGTCCAGTATGCATTGAGGAAATATTTACGCTGCTTTCTCTCAAGCATGGGAAATATTTTTGATTGGTTGTTCAAGTAGGATTTAGAAATCAGTATTCTAAATGGATAAGTGATATTGAAGTGATCTGGACACGGTCTTAAAAAGATCTTAGTAAGATTTTCACCACTAAAAAGCACATTTGGACGTTGAATGTTTACTTGAAAGTATGTGTGTATTAACCACTTCCTGCCGGGGACTCCGGGATCGGAGACGTATTGTTTATATGCGTGGCCGGGGTCTCCGAACTCGGACAAAGGAAACAGGGCCCTTTAACAAAAGACTGTACTTTTGAAACCCTGCACCAGGCTTTGGGGCATTGAGAGCGAGCGGATTACCACCGGGGACAAAAACGCTCAACCAACGCAGCGATGAGCCACACAGCACCACTGCACGCTAATCTGGCCCCTATTGAAAAGAGGTCAGCAGTGCACTGAGCCAGGTTCGCAAACAAAAGACAGTTATATAACACCGCACAATCTGGGCTCTGTTTACAAGGCTGCAGGCCCGGCTGAAATACTCTTGCGTCAATGAAGGTCACCTATCAACTTAGAATAGTGCCTGAAGATTACTTCGTGCGGCTATAAACGACCGTTAAATGAAATGATGAATTTTTGAAGTATTTTGAAAACAGAAAAAATGATAGTCATGCCGGCCCAGCATCATCAACATTGGAAAATGCCCCGGCACGAAGTGGTTAAGCTGTTGTAGGCTAGATTTCTTATGACTATCATAAGACCCTACAAACCCATCACAAGACCAACACAAGACCTCCAGTCAGAATTCATGTCACAAGCTCTTTGTCATTGTTCACTCTGTTACTTGTGACTGGTCTGATATCTGGTCTTGAGATAATCTTGATGCGTATCAGTTTTTCTCTTTTCCATAGCGTAATGGCTCAATGTTTCCATTGGACTGCTTATCCTATGGAATAGGATAACCCTATGGAATAGGATGACCAGTCTATGAAACTCCATAGGGTTCGATTCCCAGCTCGGTTCACATGTGGAATGGGTTTTTAGTCCCTACCTGATTTCGTGAGTTTTACTCGGAATATTCCTCGGGGGGTTTTCCTCCCACCGCTAAAACTGTAGTTTCTTCTCACTGTCTCCTCACTACAGGTCTCTTCAGACTTTTGAGCTGCAGTGCCTAGGGTACTTTTGAGGAATCCTTGGTGTCATTACCAGAAAGACTTAAATACTATAAATGATTAGACGCTGCATTCTGTTGATTTGACTTCTCAGAAATGTTTGATAATCAACAAAAAGTTCAAAGTCAGCATTTTTTTGCCGTCACCACAGGGGCTACAAATGTGCAAGGAGATCAACGCGGTCAAGTTCTTGGAGTGCTCCGCCCTGACGCAAAAGGGACTGAAGACGGTGTTTGACGAGGCCATCCGAGCCGTGCTGTGCCCTCCCAAGCAGGTCAAAAAGAAGAAAGGCTGCAACCTATTGTAACTCAGCCTGCTTTCCTCGCTCGCTTTTTTTTTTAACCAATTTGCCCCGCTTGTCTTACAAAAACCCCCAAACAAGACGGCAAGAAGCGCGGTCAGGTGGGTTGGTTGAGACGGGGCTATCATTTTTTGTAATACGGGGCTACAGTCATTAACATTTGGAAATTCGGATCGCGGTGGACTTACAGCTTCAGAGATTGCATTTTTGATGCTGTTTTAATTTGGCGTGTGTCACAGATTGTCTCCGTTGGATTAGCTGGGACAGCAGTGAAGCCGTCTTTCTAAACCGATCACTCTCGTAATGTTGATATTTGGTAGGCTTTTCTTTTTCTAGATATGAAAGTAATGTTTAGTCCCCCAGGGTCAGTAATGGCAGAATTCTTGTACTCACTGGTTGGAATTCGGCAGACTGGAACTTGTCAAAACTCAGCTCCATCACCATTAGACATTGGTTTTTATAGTGGCCCTTAGAAAGGAAAGTGCAAGATGTCATTTGTCTCTTGGGATGAATAAAGACAATCTAAGTCTAAACATATTCAGGATGTATGTCGCATCCACACAATATACATGTATATCTTGCATTCTACATTACCATGAGTGCAGCGTGTATGTTGCATCCATTATGTACTGCATTCATAGCAACAGATGCGATCCTTCCATAGCAACAGACATTCTGCACGCATTGTAACAAGTGAGTTGCATTCACTGTAAACGGATTTTGCATCCATTGCAGCCGACACAAGTTCCGTAGATCCGTCGCAAGAGATGACGGGCCCCTGTTGTAACAGACATTGCAGTGGATGTGTTGCAGCCGTGCACAGCCATGTCGTGTTAGAATCTAGCTTTATTCTTGCAGCGAGTGTTCGCATATTGCATTGGCGCTCTCACCGTGATAATGAACATTTCTGTTTTGTTTTTCCAATTCACAGTGTACTTCTTTTTTTTTTAACCAACCCATCAAAACACCCTATCCGATCCCAAGAAAGCAACAGAAGTTGCATTTCAGTGTATGAGAGCGATCCCACATAATGGACAGCCCTGTTCGGCATAGATATTGCATGCGCATGGATGCTGGCCTGTTTTTACGTCAACTTGGACTGAAATTCTTTGACAGTCAGTAGCACTTGACTTCTGTCAAATACAACCCAGAGTGGCGCGTTTGTTCTCTGGATGGATACTTTCTCTACCTCTACAGTGGGAAATGTTAACTTTAGTTCTATCGTTTCAAACGGTTCAAAGCGGACGGACTTTCTGTAAGTGTACGGACCAAACATTTTTGAGCTTTCAAAAAAAAATCACTTCTTTGGCATAAATTCAGCAGTAAAAAAACTAATATAGTTTAGAATTCACAGAGCACATAAGTACGGCAGTGTGTCAGTTCCCATAAACAGTTCTGTCAACATACACAGTAATGTCTTTCTGTGAATTTTCTGCATGTAGTAACGAGCAGTAACCAATTGTTTTTCATTGGCAATTCATATTCTGTGGTTGTGATGAATCTGACTGGTCCTTCCAGCCGCAGATTTTTTCTTTAAAGACTTTGTGGCAAAACATCAGCAACAGATGGAGTCTCCGAATTGCTCCTATAATCAATTGAGGAAGATCCTTCCAGGATGAAGAAATTCTTATAATGCACTGAAAAACCATCTTTTGATTTTTGAGATATTACAAGATGTTTGGTTTTTAAGCAGGGAAAAATTAATTGTTTGAATCTTTTGTAGGGTGTTCTGAGCGAAATGTACAACAGAAATTCCACAGAGATGACTTAGTTATTACTTTGTAGGTAAAAATTATTACGTTGTATGAAAATTATACTTGTAATAAGAAGTTATAATAAGAATCTGAGATTTTTAGGGGGGATTTGGTTTCTCCTTCTTGTGTTTTTGTGGCTTGCAATTGCTGTTGGGTGTTTAGACTTTTTGGGGATGAAAATCGAAGTTCAGCATACCATTTGTATGTTTTGATATCTCATGCGTATATTTATCACAGTTCAATATGGAAATAATTATAGATCTTTGTAATCATAGCTTAAACGATGGATACGCTCTCTTCTGTACATATTGTGCTAGAGGTATGGTTAGCCGTTTTTACACCGTTTATTGTAGGCTTTGTACAAAAAAACAAAGAATTACCAATAAAAAGTAATGAAATCTGCAGGTGAACAAGGCTTGGGGCATATTTGACGTTAGACGTTTGTAATTTTTCCGTGAGAAATTGAAATGATTTTGAGGAGGGTCTTGTGAATGAAATGATGAAAAGTAATTCCTAAAACCTTGCCCTGGTAACATTTGGTTGATCCTTTGTTTGAGCCTTGCTCTAACAAAACGAGGGTTAAGTTGAAGACTACTTTTCGTGTGAGTATAACTGTGGAAAAGAAATTCGTCTGTTGAGTAGGTTAGTTTCTCATCTCAGTGGAACAAATAAGGATTTGGTAAAGATGTGCCGATTCTTCACATCTGTATTTTATAAATATTAGTCATTAAATTAAAAAGGCACAGAAAAGTTCTGGGGTCATGGCCAGGGAACATTAAAAAAAAATCAACCAACAACTACCTGACCAGGAATGTTTCTGAAAATAAGGTCTTAGACAACATTTCAAATTAATATACAGAAAAAAAGCCAGTCCCTGTAATTCAGCCATTGTGGAAGATGCAAATGGTTGCTCAAGTTGTGTAAAGTTGTGCAAGATATTGCTTTCTTAGTCCCTGGCTTAAATGACCTTGGATCTGAAATTGAAAAATCCTGTAGCACGAGGCAGCATTTAACCAATTCCATCTTCAATACGGCCATTTCACAATAGTGCACCACCAAGAGTTTACAACGCATTGGCCAATTACAATGCGCGAAATTTTGCGCGCTATGATTGGCCAATGCGATGCAAACTCTTGGTGGCGCACCATTGTGAATCGCCCGTATTGTAGTGCATTTCTGATAAGGGAATAAATATGTGCTTGAGAATGGACGCAACTAATTCCCTCGCCCGCAGCTCGGGCATTATCAACATTCGTTCTCCTGAGCAAGGTCTTAAAAACATTGAAGACTGGCAAAGCAGATATTTATTCCCATTCATTAATACCTTTTTATTCAGAACGTCAAAAGAAGTAAACCCGTGTTGAATTTCCAACGATTTTGTTCTGAAATTTTACTTTCATTTGCCCAAACACCCTTGTCCATTTTATAGTATATTTCTTTTGAAAGTTGTCCAACAGAATCTTCTTCAATAAACTTGGCACGTCACGTGATGCGTCACATGCACACAGATTCCAGTGGGTGATTTCCACAGCAGGCATTATCACTTCTCAGCTGGCATTATCATGTTAATACACAGTCATGTGACACATTTTGACCAATAGGAACAGAAAAGCCGTTCCAGGTATTTATGCATGTAAGCTTTTACCAATGATCAATTTACCACATTATGTCCCCTTGTGATTTAAGAGGCCTGTGCTACATCTGCAGTGGCTCCAAATTTCAAATTTAAATTACCTGTGTAATTTTGTTGGTTGTATAATGCAGACAAGGAAAGTACATTGCAAAGGGAAGGCTGGTTAATCTCTTGTATTTGATACCAAGATGCAGTCTGGTTCCCTGACCTCAAGAGCAGTTTCATTTATTGTAGAGCTGCCTCACTGCTCTCTCCATGTAAAACTCTCTGGACAGGCTTTTGGTGAAGTCACTGTCCTCCATCTTACTACTCCAGTGGTTGAAACTGGTTCCCTTAACACATTCCAGTGAAGGGATTGGCAACCAGCACCAAGCTTCACTCATTCCCAAATCCCAAAGTGGCCAGCTGTTGCTTACACAGAGATACTGTACTTGTATTACCCGTGTATTGTATCATGTTAAAACTTTCACAGGTCACCATACCAGCCAACTGTCACGGTCTTTCAGCAAGTAGTCAGTGTTTTTTACGATGATGCCAATCGTAGTTCCACACATCACAACACCTTTGCTCATTTGCATATTCCACCTACCCTGTAAGTCACAGAAATGATAAATATCATCTTTTTATGTATGAAGAGCATGTAAAATGTACAAATTGCTTATCAAGTTTTTGTCGGCTATTAAAGTAAATACTAACCTTGTAATTGTAGATTAGAAAAATACAGTAGCGTGAACAGTGGGGCATTGTAAACTAGCTATGTCAGCGTTTCAGAGTCAGTGCAGGCAGCGATGGAAACGATGGAGCCTAAATTTTTTTTTATTTGTAAGAGCCTTATCAATACAGCCAGATTGTAATGGAATATTCTTATTGGAATCCACACACGGTTAATTTTGTTGAAGTGAAATATTGTATATTAAAAAAAATCATTTGATAATAAATTGTCTGCAAAGTGTGTTTTCTTTGTGCTTCTTGGTGTGAGGTTGAAGTTAGTAACTGAACAGAGCCTTCTCGTAACATTCCAATTCTAGGCCTCGGACATCTCATCTCAAATCCTTTTCTTTGACCAGCAAGCCAAAATGCTATTACATGTACATCTGCACGTACTTCAGTAATGCAACGTGCAAAGAACACGAATTATGCAAACATGCATGCTCACAAGCACTGTAGTTTTGAGCACTGCACACCTGTTGAATATCTGTTATTATGGGGATGAATTTCTTATGAGGACAAATGCTTGTCCTCACAACCAAATTTCCAAATTTTCCAATAAAAATCATCCCCCAGCCTGGGCACGCCTGCAAAGCAGCAAAATGAAAAAAAAAACCAGACAAAACAGGTAAACAAATATGTTGAGAGAGATGTTGAGAGATTCAATTTATTGGAAACAAAATGACAGTGTGTTGAACACTAAACAGGAAGGAAGTTCTTGGAGTATTGGAATATATATACAAAGATTTCTGTAAGTTTACAAATTCCTGCCTAATGGAGGCTTTGAGCCATATCAACAAAACTACAAGCACATATGTCGTCCATACATAACCTGGGAGATCCCATTTGAAATAAATCATCATGAGCAACAATGACCCCAAAAAAACATCAATCTGGTAGGTCAAGAAAAGTGATGCATGCTAGACAGCAAAGAACAATCATTTTATACAGTGGCGATGTGAGATATGGCTTTTTTTCACACCCAAGGGTTCCATGACATTAGCGTGCAAAGATGAAATCTATTCTCTTGACGGAGTAGAACTGCGCATATCCCACATTGTCATATAACAGGTTGGTCTATCTGCAAGTTTATCTCACAGCTATTGATTACTCTCAGCCTTCCTACAGAAGCACACAATTCAGGGGTAGCAGAAATGAACATGTATAGAGGGGCTTGTGGGGTACTGGAACAATGGAAAGTACCCCACAAGGCCAGTTTTGATCCTTGTGGGGTACTAAAGTGGTACCCCCACAAGAATTGCACAAAAATAGACATTTCAAATTTACTCAAAAAGGAGGAATTTCCAAGCGCCACTCATCCGTCGCAAAATGAAGTATTTTGAATAAGGGACGTTCAGTCGAATTTGCAAAGTAAGACAGAGAATCTGGTTCAAATGGGAGTGATTTGAGAATTTTTGCGTGTTGTGTGGGAGTTTTGTACACAAGAACAAAGGAAATTACCCCACAACTATAGCTGTGTGTCAATGCTTGCCTAAACGAGTCAGAGACCCTTCCTCACATACAGTCCACAACCATCCACTTAAAGAGATGGGTGTGTCTCTACATAGAAATGACCTCTCTGATGAAACATACATTTACAATGTACACGTTCATGCACCTTTGGTGTGGGTTGTACAAAGAATATGGTATAAGTACATGCCCGGTTTTTATTGAAACGTAGAGTCTTTGCACTGTGTGCCAAGTTGGAAGTTGTACCACCAGCCTGTCTCTTCCTTATCTGCGATGGGGTGCTATATTGAAAGTATATTACAAATATACTTAAAATATAATATCAATATAAATGATCTATTGTGGCTGTGGCTAGCAATACTGCATCTACCAATGGAAGCCAGTGGCTAACCATTCCTCATTGGCTTGTGTGGCACTACTATTAAGCCCGAAGTTTCTGTTGCAGCTAGCAGTTTTACCCAAAAATAAAAGGCACAAATGTAATTGGGACTTTATACCTTGCTTATTTGTACATACATACATACATACATTGATCTTTGCGTAGCTTATGTTACCGTATTAAATCCTTTCCCATCAAGGGCAGACATTAGTTTGATCAACATCTTACTGGGTGTTTACTAGTCTCAAATCAGGGTAAAAATAACTAGTTGTGTGTCGCAGATTTGTGTGCACAATTGTCTTGGAGACGAGTGGGTAATGCAAAAATCCAGCAACTTAGGAGGTAATCCACAAATTACGCTTAAAATTTGCCGACACGACGCTCATGTGCTTCGGACAGTACAAGTCTCTGAAGGTACAGGTATGCGATTTCATTGAACTGTTTAGCAGGCACTTGGCTAGCTTTAGAAGCATTAACACTGCTTGGATAGCAAACATCGGCAGGGGACCAGTTTCAAGCCAGTGTACAATATTACATGTTCACTGGTGAGCTGCTGTTGCTGCAGCTAAATGTCCTGTGCAAGTAACCGCGTGCATCGGCAGGGGACCAGTTTCAAGCCAGTGTACAATATTACATTTTCACTGGTAACCTGCTGTTGCTGCAGTTAACTGTCCTGTGCAAGTAACCATGTGTCCTTTGTGGATCCATAAAAGTGGAGCAGAATACAACAGTTGAAAAAAAACATAGATTAAGACAAACATCAGTTTTGCTTCCAAGAATTCCTGATTTTCCTACAATTTGGAATACGTTGAAAACTTTGTTTTGTGAATACCTACAGCATGCAATTCAATATGTATTTACAATAATCCTAAGTATACTACAAAGGTTGCATCCATACAGCATGCTGCTTACACACATTTTATTTATCAAAGAAGCCCTGGATGGGTCACGCTTAAGTCAACCCTGCTTCCTCAACCCAAAACTTCACAAAAAGAAAGAAATCACTTACTTTCTTTTCGAATTAATTGTTGCACTTTTGAAATACTAAACAAGACAAGTTTGAACTGAACGCTGGTGCATAGCAAAATATTACATTCTAACAAAATGGTACCAGGGCTTCAAAACAAAATGTAACTGTCATATAAAACATAAAAAATAACATAAAAAAATGTAACACTTGCTTTCGCCATCCATTCTGTGCACATGTATTTTTTTCAATACAGAGGCTAGGGCAACACCTGGAGGCTACTGGTACCTTGTGCCTGGTACCCACGTGGATACGCCGCAGAGTTATAACATGACAGGTACATGTTCTATTCCAGATGTAACTCAACAAGCAAGCACTCATAGTGGTACTCCTATAGACCTTTTTTTCACCCATGTGACTGGATTGCCCTTGATGTAAACAATACCCCCACGTGTGGACCGCCTTAGCCACGGTGACCGCATACATTCCTACGGGCAGCTTCACTTACATACAAACACTTGTGCGAATGCTGCATGCTTGATTTATCTTGAATAAGTAGATTACCATCACAACACATGGCAGTCCAGCACGATTGTGACATGACAGGAAAAAGGTCTATAGACAGGCATGGTTCTACAGGGGTGCCGGGGGCTTAGCCCCCCTCCCTGGGAAAAAAATGGAAAACTGAAAAGGCAGTAGCGAAAGTTGAAGGTGATGTCACGTGAAAGGTCTAGTCCCCCAACAAAAATTGGTTCTAGAACCCTGCCTACCTATAGTATAATTCGAGAACCAGAATTAGAAGCCATTACTGCGATGGCACAACGTGTGTTAATAGGTAGCACGCGCGCCTGACATGCCACATTGACCAATAGGGTGTCGCGATTTGCCGAAAGCACGCGCGTCTCAAGATCAGGAATGTGGGTGTGAGCGCGATGCCACCGCAGTATGGCGTCTCCTCGGATGAGTCTATAGACTCTCCTTCTGCCCACGTCACAAGCACCATTTTTGTTAGGTTTTTTACAAGCTGGGCGTCAGATAGTTGTTTTGGATGCCCGCAAGCTTATGGTTCCCCCTTCAGGGTTTTTCAGCAGTGCTGTGGTAACTGCAGCTTGTCGTGGGCGTGAAGAGTTGTGTTACCCACCTGTCTTTAGTCAGAACCAGAGTAGGAAATAAAGCTCTACTTTTACAAAACCTTCAGCAAATCAATTAGAAAAATTCTGAAAACCAATATCCAATCTGACCAATCAATTGATCAATCAATCAGTCAATCAATCAATCGATCAATCAGTCAGTCAATCACAGCAATAGAGTAAATGGAATACTACAGTATATTACATCAGTTTGTTCATTCAGTCCTTACTATATATAGAAGTATGTACATGTGCCCCAGGTTGGGGCAAAATTCAGTTGTAGCTAGACAGCCTGAGAGAGTTAAATCTTTGTAGTTTACAGTAACTAACTGGCTACAAAGGTGTCTATAGAATCCCTGGTGAGTGACCGGTGAAAACAGATGGTACTGAGGTGCTACTTTATTCAAGAGCATGTCATATACATTCTTAAATCTGAAGCCACGCAGACTTTCATCTAATAATCTTTATCTGCTTCTCCTAGAAATACAAAAAGTATAACGGCCTTATTTATGAATACTTGGGTTATGCAGGAGAATACATTTGGGTGAATAACACAATGTTTTGACTTCTGGAACACGAATGACTTTGGACTAAACAGCAGTTGTCAGCCTAACAACCTGTGATGTGTTATCAATTTTACTACTGTGAAAAACTTTGAATAACATGAAATCAATTAATATGGAAGAGCAATAATAAAGGTCAAAAAATAGCACCTTCTCACTCCAAAACATCTGACTCGAACCTCATTTTCACTTTCTGGACCTACCAAGGTAAGCCAAAGCCAAAATGGGGAACAATGTTGAGTGTCTCACTTGTCTCATGGTTTATTTCCCTTAGTGACAATGGAACATCCCATTTTCTTTCACTAGAGCCTTGGATTAATGAAACAATCCAGGGATCAGCTTCAATTGGAGGCTGGTTCTGCTGAACGTGTATTTATTTTATCTTGAAAATCAATCCCTACTTTCGCTATTCTTGACATTGAGTTAAACAAATGTTTGGTCTTGGGTTTTTCCAAAAGTGAGCGACCCTTGGATTGTGTACTGTCATGAAAACATGTACATACATGTAAATGTAAATCAACTTTCCCTGTAGACTTGACTCAAGTCAGGATCTTGTAGTAATGCTGATCTTGATACTATGGCCTGTGTTCCTTGTGGAGACATGTAGGCCCATGTCATGCACTGCCCTCACTCACAGGCACTCCCCTATGTTAGTTGAGAATCCCTTAACTGACCCTGATGCCATCACATGTTGATGCCGGATCGCCGAGCATAACCATATAAGGGCGTCCTATATACAAGTAAACCACAGCCATTAAAAAGCACAATCAGTCCCACATATTATCTACCGAGCTCGAGCAGAAGCACCCCTTCCTCCGTTGAAAAGAGCCATGTTGGTCAGGAGTATTCATTTTGTTGGTAGCGATGCGACAGCAATGCTTGCGTTTACTACTAATCTTCGTGAACCAGCAGTGTGCAGTTAGTAACAAAGGTGCATTCACTGCTTAGGAAATGGCGCCCTCTCTTGGTCCAGCTCGAGGATCATTATGCACACGGATTGAACAATTCAAAGTCCAACTTGAGTCAAGGCTACTTTCCCTGCAAATGTAGCAAGGATTACATGAACACTTGATACAACTAGTCTTTTCTGAAGCTCGGAGGATAAGGGGGTAAATTTGGAGCAAACACAACAGATTTGCCCAAAGGAAATAGTGCTCTCCTATTGTGTCCACCTGACCTTATGTCCAGCCATCTAGGCACACTTTAAATTATCTGAAATGTACTCCAGGTCAAACACAATATGCATGCTTCTTGTGGTATGCCAGAGTCCACAAGATATGAACAGCGCCCTCGTTTGACTTGACACAACTCTTGGCTTAAGATCTTGAACACTGGATCTCCTTAATGGTTTAAGCAATGTTGACACACACAAATGTAGCAATGAGCAAGGATTTGGTTATTTTTGTTAAGGTGGGGCTATTTAAAAAATATTCCCTCGATAAATATTTGGCATTTTCACAGCTGCATATGGTTATGTCAATGGGGCAGCCTAGTGATAACCATAGTGTCTCACAAGGCAGTTAATAGCAAGTTCTTGGCAGTGCCAACGCAAATTTTGCCCTATGCAAGGGTCCAACTTAAAAACAGCCCAATTCTATTGCAATATTCAGTATGTCAGACGGTAACGATTCTCAGACGTTAAAAATAACCAGACAGTATTATCGCTATCACTAATTTGTGTAAATGCGAAACAGTAAAAAAAACTTAGGAAACAAAGGCCAACCAACAGATTCCCTGTGTAACCCAAATAAGAGTTACAGTTGAGTGGAGTCTGTATGATTACAGGTAGCCTGAAAGAACAAGGAACCATGTGCAAGGTTTTTTGAATGGTCAGTTCTTGACCAATCCAAGGAGTTATCATTATTGCGGTGCACCCATGCACCTGTGAGCTTAGCAAGTTGTCGCATGACATAGTACCATGCAGAAATGGCATCTACGTTTGCACTCCGAATTACACAACAGCGTGCCGCAGTGAATGCATCACACGAGCAATCATATGTGTTCAAGACATCAGCACGAGAAACGGCGAATGCCTTGAACCAACATGCCGGCACGCTCCACTTCCCTGCACTACACTTGCTGGTTCAAAATGATGTCACACTTTGGTACGCTACAATTTGTTTTGTGACTGAATGGGAGGATCATTTGTATGGGCCCAGTGTGTTTCTCCTACGTAACTCTGATATCGTACAACCCAGCATTGCGCACGAAGTCCCAACCAAAAGTATTCCTTACCCTACAAACCAATTTACAGGTCAGCCCATGTACCTGTAATATGTATGTACCTGAAATAACCTCAGCTGTTTTTACAAACTCAAATCTGTGAAATATTTATACAAAAAATCATACTTTGATTTAAACAATCGAGGGCGCTCTTTGATGTAGCTGTAGCTAGAACTGAGGACAAGGCTTTGTCCTCAATGCGCCTTGTTGTCTACAGTATCAGGTATTCCCCACAAAGTGTGTCAGGAACTGAACATGGCTTACACTGTAACCCACCCAATCAAAACACTGAACATACGGGCTGCTTTGAAGTAGTTCTATCTGGGGCCGTTCTCCAATACTCCAATTCATCTCCGTCTTCGTTCCCAAAACCAATCCCTGATTGTGGGCCTGAAGCATTTAAATTACATTGGATCACTGTAATTTGTGGCTCTCTTGCATCTTATTTGATGTTCTGTGGCTTTATTAGACTGATTACTGCGCTTACAGCTTCAAAGGCAGCTAGTAAAAAACAGTTGAAGCCTGAGACGGAGCCTAAGTTGAGTATTGGAAAACGGCCTGGAATCACTATTGACAACAGTGTGACTAAACAAATGCTAGTAAACAACAGTCCAGTTGGATATTCACAGCTGCCTATAGACCTCTGTCGTGGGGCTGCCATCTTGCTTTCCCACCATTAAATTCAATATAACTGAGGCTGGAAGGCAAAATAGTCAGTTCCCTTTTATCAACAGGTGAAGTTGCATTACTATTGCCATGGGGGCAACAGGGAGAATGACAAACATGGTAGAATCACGATAAAGGTCTATGGAGGTTGGTTTCATCTCTGGTTAGCAATGTCCATGCATAAAAAATGGTTAAGTGTGAGTCCTGGTTGTGACAATAGAACTGAAATGTGTTCTGTTTACACCAACACTTTCCTAAGACAGTGAAGTGAGACAAGATCCATCCAGCCATCAAAGGAAGGTGTACATAAAGAAAAGCGACTATTAAAGGGTCTTTTGAACGTTGCTGACATTATGTCTTTTACACTTTAAAACCGCAGCAAAGGTGCAACATACGTCGTGACCTAATCCACAGTCAACGACAAAGCCCTCGATCATGTTTCCTTACTGAAGCACCTGATGAATCACAGAGCGCCCTCCAGAGTCCAAAAGATAAACACTCACTCTCAACCTTATTCCCATGCTGAGTGATTTTGTCATGCACTGTCCCATACAACTACATATTGTCCCACCAGTTACCCACTTGTGATAGAGTCCACAGGTGACTCAGCCTACGAGAAGAAGGCCGAGGCTTTTTCATTGCAGTGAAAAAAAAAGATCAAACCAATGAAGTCAGGCTCCAGCGCTACATACAGCTATTCTACAATGGATGGCACTTCATAGCACCAGGCAGGTGTGTTTCTTCTTCTTGGGCATTTTGGGCGGGTACAGGACGACTCGTATCGCTTCCTCAAAGACCATCTTGAGCCCCTTCTGCGTCAGCGCTGAGCACTCTAGATACTTGACACCACCGATTTCCTTGTTCATCTGAATGCCCTGTGGACAGACAATACGGTGCACCCATGTCAAACTTCACAAATATCAAATTATTTCAAAGACAACTCCTGATGCCACAAAACATGATGTGTGGTGTGTCAGAAGACTTTGTCACTCTATCCGCCTCCAGGCGTGAAGGAGGGAGGGCGTGCTTTTACATAGCAAAGACGGTGCCCTTAGTGGGAACCCATCACGGTCACGCGCAGTTTTTTGTACTGGTTTGGTGCAGCTACATGTACCAAATGAGCGTGCGCGACCAGTTTCTGTTTGAATGTATGGTTTTTGGGTGTGCACTGGGCACGAGCATAAGCCCAGTTGGAATTTCCAATCATCACGTTTCCTCTGCCAGAGAGGGTGCACTTCAACTCAGAGTGGGTATCTTAAGCTTAATTCACTGCAATATATACAGTACCTCCTGTTGTCAATGCCAAACAGCAACAAGAAACACTATCCACCTTGAGCGAAGCACCCCCCCCATCGGTTGAAAAAGGGCCGTGTTGGTTGGGAGTGTTCATTTTTGTTGGTAGCTACGTGACTCCAACACACTTATTCATAGAAATATGGAAGGGCTGCGTAGCATCGTGAACAAAATATTGACAAGAATATAATATCAAATCAGTGCTCTGAAATACGTGATTGCCGAGCTCTTGGTTATTCGATATTATATTCTTGTCGATAGACTTATTTCATAGTCGTTTGTAAACGAGCAAAGTGCAGTTCCTACCAAGGGAGCCTCTGTTACAAGGAAAATCGCCCTCTCTTGGTCGTGCTTGGGGCTCATAGAGTGAAGCAGTTCCTTGCACAGTACTGCTTAGCTTTCAACATTTTTAATACTGGTGACCATACATTTGTCCCATGCTTTATCCATGGGCTACATGCACTGACTAGAGGGGGCACTGTGAAGCTTTACTACTGGGCATACAGGTGTACTTACATTTCACTGGTTCACATGCACAATTCATCTGATTACATTTTACAGTCAATGCATACCAGGGAGAATTTTGCTCAAATAGGCTGGTGTCCATTCCTACAATTACAGTCAAGACGTCTGCAATCACAGGCAGGGACCAGTTAAGAGGTAACTGCTCTTACTTCACTGGTTCCCATGTGACACTTCCACTTGTTAAGAGTCACTGCATACCTTATAGTAGTGTTTCCCACTTTTACCAATGGCATTGTACTTCTGCATGAAATCAGTTAACTCTGATCAAAGGCACCCTGTCAACGGCGACAAGAAGGGGCCGTGGATATCACTTCCTTAGTGCACTTGACATGTATAAGCAAAGGTCAAACGGTTTTGTGCACATCCTGATGAAAACATGTCGTGTGTTCTCTGTGCCATGAACCAGTGTTTGTGTATGTGGTGTGGCCCACATGGATCACAAACCCACATCTTCTGCTCCTAAACAATGTTTCACAGAGAAAGTTCCTTCTTGGACAAAAAATTGGAGGCAAGGCTGTAGATCAGTTCAAGAGAAGGAGCGATGATTGAACAGTGGCTTAGGTCTTGATTTCTTGTTCCTCTTTTAAGTATGAAGGGCAAGGATGTCCCCCCCCCAAAAAAAATTAAAAATATACAATGAAAAAAGGGGAAAAAACACTGACTTCATATAAAAAATCTGGATCTGTAATGCCCTTCAATCAGCACACAACGGTCATTGAAACCACTGGCGGCCATCTTACAATGCCGAAAGCGAAGGCATTTTTGACCAAATTCATTCGTGGCATCAAAACAATTTTATCGCTTTGTATTTGGCATGGTAAAATGACCACCGCTGGATTCCGTCGGTAACCAGGCATTGTGAGTCCAGATTTTTCATATGATGTCAATGGATTAGAAGCAGGTTGAAGCAAAGAAGACCGCCCAAGTTGCTAACAATTCACCATCACTCCACCCACTCATAGAACAGATCCACGCCCTTGCAAGTGGAGGTTACAGAAGCATCTGGCCTACCTCTTGGAACTTGATGGGGCTGAGATTGCGCTCCTTCAGCTTCTCGATGGTCTCCTGGTTGTCCCGCAGGTCCAGTTTGGTGCCCACCAGAATGATGGGGGCCTGCGGACAGTGATGTCTGACTTCTGGCGCCCACTGTGACCACACGCACAGCCACAAAAAATTCAATTCTATATTAGTAACATGGTAACACTCACTTTCTAGGCATTTTTAAGGCCCTTCCTGGAACCAACAAGATTTTCCACCATGCAGGGATCAAAGGTACATTCTTTGTACCTTTGTAGTCTTTGAATCCAGCCCCCCTCAACAAACATCAAGTCCATGTACTGTAAGCAGAGGTGGCAGCAAGTCATTGTATGCAAGTCCAAGTCAAGCCACAAGTCATTGTATGCAAGTCCAAGTCAAGTCACAAGTCATTATATGAAAATCCAAGTCAAGTCACAAGTCATTGTATGCAAGTCCAAGTCAAGTCACAAGTCATTATATGAAAGTCACAAGTCATTGTATGCAAGTCCAAGTCAAGTCACAAGTCATGAGATCCAGTCACAAATCATTTGGTCACAGGGCAAGGCAAGTCAAGTCAAGTCACAAGTCATTTGATCTAAATCCAAGTCAAGTCACACGTCTCTTTGTCCAAATACAAGTCAAGCTGCACATTATTTTGTCCAGCTGTAATAAGCAAAAAGAACCAGGCATCAACTTACGAAGTTCTAAAAATACATGTATCTGGAGCCGGTCAAGTAACGTCTGACTTGGGCCGGTAACAAGTCATTTTTTGCAAGTCCAAGACAAGTCACAAGTCAATTTTTGCAAGTGCAAGTCAAGTCACAAGTCAAAGCTGGTATTTACAAGTCAAGTCACAAGTCACAAAAATAGCGACACGAGTCCGACTCGAGTCCAAGTCACATGACTCAAGTTGGCAACTCTGACTATAAGTACATGTACGTGTAAATGTGGCTGGGCTCTATAAAGCTCTCCACAACAACCTTTTACAGTCCTTGCACCGCCAGCATAGGGGATGTTTCAGAGCCTTGTAGATTTCCACATCAGCCATATTTAACAAACTGCTGCCAGAAGTTTCACTGTAACGGCTGTTGTGCCACAAGAATGCGCAAACTTTGTTGAAATGGTTGAAATCTGTACATTTCTTACTTTTTACCCACTTCAAGCAAGATGATGAATAGCATTTTCAGTTCAGACTAGCTAGAAAAAATAAATACAAAAACTCCCAAACGGTAAAGAGAAAGTCTGAAGTGACAGCTTCTTTCTTAAGGTGTCAAACAAGAAAAAGTATGGGCATGATTGTAAACTTTGAAAACTTGCCAAGCGCTGTACACATGCACGCATATTTAATAGGTACTTTTCGGGTGTCTATTTGAACACATGCATATGACAGATGTACGTCCTCCACACTGCCAGCAGCGTATTTGTTATGTTCGTGGGTGATGCCAGTGTATTCAATTTACATTACAAAAGCCTTTCATTTCCAATGAGTATACTCGGAGCGGCAGAATCCGGCACACCTGTGACTATGAGTATACTCCTAGTCGGCAGTCAACCTGTTCAGGTTGCCTTCAGGGTTGATTTTAGGGCCCTCGGCCTTAACCTTCGGGCTTGAGGGCAAACGCCTTCACGATGACAGTCAAAGCGTTCCCTTCAACACCGTTTTACAACAAATTCATTGCAATGCCACCATAGCCTATTTTTCAGAAATAAAAAGATTTCTGTGCTGACATGTTCTTTGGTGCACTCAGTGGGAAGAAGCTGGTAAACCATGTGCTTATACACCAGTGCACATCTGTGGAAATTTCCTAATACCTCCCACCAATGGGATTGCGGTGTGGGACACTGTGCCGACACAGCAGGGGTGCTGACTGCCTGTGAACAATCAATTCACACTAGCAGGGTAACACAGCCAGCTTGGCATGCGCATACAATGGGAGCACTTCAAGGTCAAGACCTGAGTCAGAACTCGCTGCTAAGGCTATTATACGGTATTCCTAAGTCTACGGCTGTGAATCATTCAACAAACATTCAGTGGACCGAAATGTTTACAGATCTTGTGGATTCATAGGATTGAAGCAAATGCATGTACAACATTTTTACCTCTCCGTTCTGCCAATACAAGAGGCATTAGCTTAGCCTTGGGGGCCTACAACTAAGCGGGCTAGAAATCTCCACCCCCCAAAAAGTTAGGGTGAAATTTATCCTGAGTGGCCAAATTTCTGTTTGAATTTTTCCTAACAATTATATGTCTCTACAACTTTCCCCTGAAACTTCCCAACTGCTATATAGTACCAAAGTGAATACATCATGCATACAATTATATATAAAAGGCATTAGCACAACAACCAGCGTGGAACCAGCGCATGCGCGCACTTCATCCTTTTACACTGCACTGCCTGGTTCAAAATGACATCACAATTCCGTACTCTATGTTAATTTCTTTCTTTTAAAAAACATCTCAACGTTTCTCTAAAAATCTCTGAATATCAAATCCTCAAAAGTCATTCACTCATGAATGCACTTGCATGGGCCCAAGGTTTTGAGTAGAAAGTACAAGCTATGATGCTTAGGAAATGACAGCACTGCGTTGGCAGAGGCTTACAAGGCTGGAACTGAATAGAACTGATCCCTTACTCAGAAAGAAAACAACAGAGTCACATTTGTCAAAGAAGGGATTGACCCCATAAAAAAATGTAACTCCACTCCCCTTGGGGCTGCGTCCAAGCAATGCATCAGAAATTGAAAAAACAAAAAGATTTGAGGGAATAAACAGATTCTAACTGAGCTTTCACACTATATAGGACCGTCACGGAAGATGACCTGTGAATACCCATCTTTGAAATCAAGTCTGGTTGGTTAATGCTTACACATTTAAAACAGCCATTACAAGTGCACCATTTTAACAACATTTCACTACATTTGATGATGGCTCCCCTCCCTTGGCATGAGAAATTTTGCCCTTGGCAAGGGAAATTTTGCCCTTGGCAAGGGAAATTTTGCCCTTGGCAAGGGAAATTTTGGAGTCTCTGCACAAAAAAAAGATGTTGGGACTCTTGGACAAAAAGAGTATACAGTTAAACCTTGTTAATAAGAGGTCTTTTGGACTTGGGAAACCACCTTGTTATAACATGAACCTTGTATTTATCTCCAAACACAGGAGTCGGCCCAGCCTAATACTGTTTAGGGTACGAGAGACACGATTATGTGACCAATCACTTCCCATGGCCGATTTTGCCGGTGCTGTTGATGGCTGGATGCCTCATTTGCAAATCGGGCATGAAATTGGAAACCGCTCATCCGAGACATCCATTGTCTCGGTAGCCATCTGCCATCCTGCTAGCTCTGTGACCTAAAACGAATCCGGATGTTTACCAAGAGCCTTCACTGCTAGCGGCCGAAGCTGCCCTAAATGCCACCAACTCCACCCACAACAAATACAACTCAGTGGGCTTTTCACTGACATTTGTTAAGTGCAAAGCTCATGCAGTTGAAGATGCTTTTGTGAAATGAAGTTTAATTCCTACAGAACTTAGTTGCCATTCAAAGTGAAGATCGGTGGTCCCATTTATAGTTCACGGTAAACGTACATCGTAACAGAAAGCTCAAATTGAAATGTATTTTAGTATGTCTATTTCCGTGGGTCTACCGTACATTTGCAGACCTATGGATGATGAAATTGACGGAGAGCAAACGAAATACATGTATGGGCACTTGGTCTGCACCAATTAAAAGCTGGTATTATCCATGTGACTTTGCAAAGTTGTTATCAGAATACGGCCGTTTCACAATAGTGCGCCACCAAGAGTTTGCAACACGCTGGCCAATCATAACGCGCAAAATTTGTCGACCATTTCCAAACGCGCATTGGGTCGACAAATTTCGCGCATTGTGATTGGCCAACGCGTTGCAAACTCTTGGCGGCGCACCATTGTGAAACGGCCGTATTGCCTCCCATCTGATTTTCTTATGTGCTATACACATGCACATTATCCATCATCTATTACGACTTGGCCCAGGATAGCTTTGAGGTATTCTGAATATGGAAATATAGAGTTTATAGCATTCTACACATTTAACACACGTCTGTGTTGGCCACTGAAAAATAAATAGTGCTTCTGAGCAAACACTGAATGTCTTGATATGATGTGGATCTCAGCCCTAAATGTTTACGAACATACATGCGAATAAACACTTCGTGCACCCGTGTCAGTTCAGTACTAGTCTACAGTTCATTTTCCACGTGCACAAGATTTTGAGCGGAGAGCGGATCGGCCATTACCGACCTCTTTTACGCTATTAACGAATCACATGGTACCATTTCATGACAGAAAACTACAGGTATTTCCCTAAATTTTCTGATAAAATACCGACGGAGTCTCACCTTTGCTCTGACGTTTTCGTACGACACCGGACTGACGACTGAGAAACAGATGAGGAAAATATCCTGGAAAGAGACACCGACAATCACTTTTTAAAATTCAACATAAACCTACAAGGTCCACCTTTGGCACGTTGCAGTTTTCTTGGGAGTATTCTTCCGGCAAGCAATGAATACTTTACAGTGGAAGATTATATGCCCTGAGTAGGACCAAGAGAGGGCGCCATTTTCCTAGCAACAGCAGAGCCGCATACGGAGAGAGTAGCCCACACTTCAGAGTGAATGTTCACCATGTGTGCCATGCAGCAGTTGTGTGCTGATTGTCCATGTGCACTGATGGTATAATCTGCCATCTTGGTTCCAACAATTGAAACATCCGTGTCGCGATCCTCCCTAAAAACAGCTGTTCTTCATTATGTATGCGCGTAGAGACTGTGTTGAGACCAGAGAGTGATGTCTGTTTTGAAATTAACATGAATGTCCAGTTTAATGTCTAAACCGATGGGACAAAAGTGTCTGGTCCAACAACTTACTGTCTGTGGATAGGACAGTGGCCGGAGTCTGTCGTAGTCTTCCTGTCCCGCCGTATCCCATAAGCCCAAGTTGACTGGCTTGCCGTCCACCATCACATTGGCGGAGTAGTTGTCAAACCTAAGGAAAGGAGCGGAAGGTACCAATTCAATAGCATGGTCACATCGGAGACCTTGATTCAGAGACAAAAACAATCGTCACTGCTAAAGATATAGGTTATTTTCTGTGGGCTTCCCCTGCCTATTCAAGTGTGAGGTGGCAAACCTCACTGATCTTTGTGACCACCTCAGGCTTTTCTGTTGAATTTAACCACGACACACTTAAAATGGACAAAAATGTAAGGAAAAAGCAAAATAACATAGATATTTTGGAATAGATCAGTTTTAAATTGTTCAGAATGGCAAAAAGGGACACAGAATACAAGACCGATTTATTTCAGAGAGGAAATATAGAGTAAATGTACGATTAGACTGTACAGAATCTATATTAGGTCTTTTTGAAAACTCTTTATTTTGTTCCAGGTACTAAAATTTTTGGCAAAATTTGTTTAACCACCTCACACACATCAATAGCCATGGGGAAACCCTAGCTGGCTGGCTATGAGCAATACATGTAGAATGCTGAGGTTCCACATATCCATTCATATATTAGTGAAGCTCCAGTCAAAGATTTTATAGGTTGGTACCTTTGATCAAACATTACCAAACTCAACACCAACGCCCAATGGTTACTAGACAATGATGGAAGCCAGTATTTAGTATTTAAGAAACTACATGACTACACGCAAGAAAGTACATTCCTCTCCTAAACGTACCAACTTGTATCTCAAGCCAGTGTTGTATTCGAGTCCATCACAAGTCCCCATAGGTCTATCACATGTCATTCTGTCTTAAGCCAATTCACAAGCTATTCAAATGAACTATGATGAGAGAATTCTTTTGTCACCGTTCACCCTGTGACTTGTGACTGGCCTTGTGAAGGGACTTGTGACTGGAATTGTTAAACAACTTGTGATGGACTTGAATACATACAACACTGTCGTGATCTTCAAAACAGTATCAGCAAACTGACAAAATTTTCCCCGTTTCTGGCAATGCTGATTGTAATCTACTTAGTTTGGCTTTCTTTTACAGACGCAGACTTTGGAGATGCCCAGCGAAAGCAAACCTAACAGTCCTTTTCTATTCTGAGAAGTCAGGTTAGGGTAATGTAGAGTCGATGATTTTCCGTTTTGAAAATGAGTATTTTCCGTTTTGTAAAATCCTGAATTCTGCTTCAGAAATTCAAATTCCGTTTCATACCTTCGTAAGCATGAAATAGGAGAGCAAGTTTTAAACTATGCATGGAAACCATTTGCCCAACCACATCGCCCCCCCAAGAAAAAAACAAAACAAAAATAGCAACAATATTGTTTGGAAAAATTCTGCAATGTTTCGAACTTTTTTATAATTTCTGTAGTGAAAATTAAAAAAAAATTCCAGACAATAAATACTGCACACCCCATCCCCTTGATTTCCCACCGGCGCGTGATCACCAAAAACTTGCTACAGTTAATCAATGGACAATTCATGTGCTACTCCTCATGTATGAAATCAGATTACATACATGTACATGTAAGTGAAGTCACAGAGTAGGTCTTGCATGTAACAGTCCTTGATTACAATATGTTAATATTGGACATCGACCCGCCATTTTATTTGGCAGTTGTGTGACAAAATTCATAGAGTTAAAATTAAATCTGAGCCTTAAAATGTACGTTTGTGACTCAAAACTTCACTCTTTATTGAGCACTTCCGAGGGTCCATTCAGCCATGGTACACCAAGCTTACTGGCTTTCGTTTAATTCAAGAAATATGAAATTAGTCTTCCCGTTTCGCTGCCGCGGTTTTATCGTTTCTCCATGCGGTACTAGCCTCGTCTCAAGGCGTCCATGCAAATTCACAGACTAAATTCCCCACGTGTGCCACTGTCATATGTGTGAGTAAGAACTTGTTTGTGCCTTGATTTCATTGCTAGTACGGTGCGCATGTGAACGGCCAATGTTTGTATACACAATGTACTGTACCGCGCCGCTGCTGTGCCAGCTGCCACTGCACAATTGGGGCCCACGTACGCCATAGCACTTTCGAGTATCGCAACCGGTGCAGCGAGAACGGCCCAATCATGCAGTGGAGTGGTGCAATTTAGCAAGTTTCCAGCGTAATTTGTTCATTAAAAGCAAGCATTTGAAAAGGGTTTGGTAGGCATTTACTTTTTAGTACTTTGCAGAAAGTTTTCTTTACTTTTTAAGCCATTCTTAGAGGGAAATTTTGCAAGTTCCGTTTCAAGCAGTGGATTCCGTTTCCAAGTGTTGATTCCGCGAATTCCGTCTGTTTTCTGCGATCGCAAAAAACTATTGGCTCTAGAGTGGTTCTTTCCTCACCTTCCATCCCTGCAGTCAGGGTTCAATACCCGGCTCGGTCCACATGTGGATTGGGTTTTCAGTCCCAACCTGATCCCTTGGATTTTACCCAGACTATTCCTCTGGGGTTTTCCCCCCACCTTTAAAACTGCAACTGCTTCTCACTGTCTCCTCTCGACAGACTTTTCAGGCTTGCGAGCTACAGTGCCTCAGGGCACTTTTGAGGAATCGTTCGTGTCAATAACAGAAATAATAATTGTTGGTGTCATGTTTGAGCTAATGTACACATGCTCAAAATGATGTGAATAACAGGAAAGGATCATTACATGTTCTGCCACCAAGAGTCTTCAGAGTCACCCATTACAATGGACCTGTTTGCATCTGACATAGAATACACAAATGTGTAACGTCCTCGATAGAGTACCGGGCACACAATGCCATTTGTCAATCACAAGCCGGCCGAGGTTACCTACAATTCACCAGTGAGGGAGCACTTGTGCACTGACTGGATATCTTTTGTACTTACACTGTGGGGATGTACTCTCCAGGGAAAGCATTGGTTGTGTAGCTGATCAGTAGACATGTCTTACCGACGGCCCTGGATGGATAGAACAGAAATAAAGGCATAGACATGGTGACTAATTATCAGGCTAACTTTTTTCTTTGAAAGCTACTACACAGTAAAGCCTTCACAGCAGCAGTCTAAAAGCACGGCACCTCCACCATGCAACCCTAACTGGACAAATCACCAATACCTCCCCCCCAAAATCTCATGCATCGTGCTGCAAAAGTATACTGCAGGCTGAGAACATTTGATACCACGTTTAAACTAGGAGAACATAGCTCTGATAAAACCTTCCACTTTTTGACTGAGATTACTTTTACAAGGGTAAATTTCTTCAACTTCCACTCCCAAACACTCAGGGAACTTCCCGATGAGGGGAAAAAAATTGTTCTTAAAGTGGCTTTGCATGCGGTAGATTGATGTGAAGTGTCTTCAGTGTTGACTGCCCAGCAGAGCTCAAGTCTAACGGAATCTCATCACATTCATGTCAAATGAATGTAGTCATATCCAATCACCTAGTCGCTATATCGACGCATCAAAAGTCAACATCCTGGATAGGGACCCAAGGTATTTTGAAGGGTGTAGGAGGCATTGTACATCAGAGCGTTTGGACCATCACTTAAGCCCAACGAGGGGATGTATAAACTCTCAGGAGTCTATGATCTGGTGTTGGGATCACGTGTTCGCAAGCTCACGGATGCAACATCAGGGACATCCTGCTGTTGAAGACCAGATTTCTCGGTCCAAAATTTCAGGTACAGATTCTCTTGTATTGCAAACCGAAGTTTAAACATTAATTCTACAGTGGACTCTCCCTACAAGAAAATTTAGGGGACCAGACAAGTTTGTTAAGGTCAGAACTTTTGTTTTAACAGCATTGGACAAACAGAAAAACACACAAGAAATTGGTAGTTTCAAAACTTGCTTTTTTAGCACTTTTTTTTTGTTATGACACTGTTCTTATATCCAGAGCAGACTTTATAAGAGAATCAGCGGACTTCCTCATCCCTATAGAACATCCCTAAAGCTGTCATTTTGAAATTTCCCAAACTCTGATTGAAAATCCCAGTGGAACTGCTGATGTAGATAAGTGAACCAAACTAAAATGGACCCTATATGGAAAGGACTGCGTCTCAACAAACACAGGGTAATCACGCTGAAACATCGCAGCCTAATTCTGGCCCTCGATCAGATAAAGTCCGTCAATTGCTCCGGGGGACTTGAGACAGGGTGGAAAAATTGAAGGGACACGGCGCACGTGCACACAGACATGGGAACACACTGCGGCATGAATTTCTCCCTACCCCAACAGATAAAAGTCTCAACTGGAGGCGCTGGCAATCGCAAACATACTGATGGACTGTTGGTATCTAAATAAAACACCAAGTGATGGTATCAGAGTCTAACCATAAACCCCCTAAGGTTCTTAGAGCTACACGCTGATAAGTCATGAATATTTTCCGCACACAGTCAAAGGACACGGTAAATATTTTCTTGGGCAAATATGCAGGTCTACACAGTATTGGTATACGTGAACTGTGTGCTAGCCTTTGGTATGAATTCTCAGCTTCTCCTGAATTTTTCATCCATATCGGAAGGAACAACTGAGTTATGAGAAGGACGTGTGTTCAGAAGGTTGATATGTATGTGTGCACAGGTTCTGAGGCCATTTTCCTTTTTGACATATCTGCTTTCTAGACGTTTCCGCCACTTACATGTACATGTTACATGAATATGTAACACATGTACAGGTCCCTGCATTTCCCAGTTGCTGTTTTGAGCATTGAAGTGGGAAAACAACATGTCGGGAAATAACCTGCTGGAAACTGATTGCTGGAAGCATGACTAATCTGAACTATACAACTTGTGACAGTTTGAAAAATCAACTTTCCTGGCAAAATCTGTCTCAAATGCAAAACTGAAGACCTTCGGGTAAATCTACATGTCTGCAAATCTAGACTTGTTTGCAACAGAAAAAAAATATATTTTGGGGAGGGGATTTGGGGAAGTCATAGGATTTCAGAGAAATTACCGGTACTTTTGTAAGAAACATACATGTACATATGGACACTCATGTACATGTACATGTATGCATCTCAAACATCACTGGAAATTTTAGCAGGATTTATTGGGTGAAAGGAAATTCCGGTTATGTTGATAGCTGAAACAAGTTGCCAAATACTGAACATTTGAAGCAAGATATGGGACGGAGAGCACCCCCCCGCCTTTGTGTTGGTCATTGTTTGATTGGAATCTCAGGAATTCTTTACAGATTTCTAGGGGGGATGTGTCAGGTAACAATAGTCTACAGTGTGTATAGGGATTGGACAGGTAAGGGGGGTACTCCTCAGTCCCATATCTTGCCTGGTATAATACTGAATTCTGGATAAAACTCTCAACCTGCGTGTGTTGTTTACCATTTTTTTACCCATTGCTGTAAATAAACAATTAGCATATTCTTTTCTTCCCCTCAAATTTTCTTACTGGATGTGTACAAAAATTCACACAGGTTGACTATTTGGGCCCCAAAAAGAATGATTTCTTGGTAAAAAATGGAAAAATCAGTCCCTGCCTCACACCCAAGCACAGACCACAGGCAAATAGCCTACATGTAGAAATATACATGTAGTGCATGTCAGAAATCTCCAGCCAACCACTGCTTCAAGGGTAACTGAACTATGATAGATTACAAGGTTCCTGAAGTCTGACTAGACATGCAGTCACGGTGACACACTAAACAAAGGAGATGTCCCGACCTCTGACCCCACGAGGTCGTGCTCCAGTCAAGTGGGTTCACCAGTTCCATCCCACTGGAATGTCTGGTTGCCCCCCCCCTTTTTTTCAGGCCGCTGTTGCGAAATCCCCACAATCTATTCCTTTGAAAGGTACAAATCTGTGTGTGCCTTATGTGGTTACTGCAGTAAAGTGAAAGATAAACACAGTCCACTTTTTCAATGGGTGACATATATATGTATATCATACTACAGTGTTTCTGACAAGTTCTTTTCAGCCATTTTAATGTTATTTCCTCATTCTCAGGGACACATGTACACATGTGCAGGCGTGACATACATAGTGTGGACCTCTGCACAAAATAAGTCCACATAATGTAGGGTGAGGACTCGTACACGTCCACACAATGTTCCCCCCTCTCTGAAAAACAGTTTCAGAGGCAATTTGGGGTCAAGGTTATCCATGGCAAGATGAAGAGGAACAGTCCACGAAATCATCATCCAAAATCCAGCTCGAAGGAGTTATCCTGGTGGGAGAAAAAGGAGCATTTTCTGTGCACACTGTGCACTTAGTGCTTATCCGAAAGCTAATGGAAAAATTCATAAGCTCACTCGGGTGGGACTCGAACCAACAACCTCCTGCTTACTAGTGCAGACGTCATAAACCACTCGACCACTGAGCTTGCCGGGGTTGGCTGGCCGGTCCGAAAACAAATTTTTTCATTACGTGTAGCTCTTGGACAAGCGCTGAAAAAACACTGTTAATGAATATGTCGTTGTAAAGGCAAAACCTGTAATTAAAATATATGCAAGTTGTTTGCACTCAAACATCAGGCCAAACAAAAAAAACTCTGTGTTTCTGGTTACCTAACCCGACCTAGAAACTCCAGCAGAACCTACATGTATATCTGTTTAGTCGACAAATCAATGAAATATAAAAACTTATGGTGCCCTGCCCCAAGCCTAATTTTGTGTACATCGTCCTGTATGCTGTATTGTTTAAATTTGGAGGGGGCATGAGATGGACGGCTCTTGTGTGTTTGTCTTTCAACAACCAGCTGCTTTACTACTCAATCACAGTGCTGATATGTAATATTGACGAGCACATGTACAGTAGTAATCTGACACTGACTTAGTACCTGTTACAAATATACACGCCCCCATACAGACAATCATCCGACCCTAATTTTTTTTGGCTATACAAATTTTGAGTAAAAAACATTATTTTACCCAACCAACCACTGTAATTTATATTTCAGTGTAATAGGAAACACAAGTAAGTTTTTGTTTGGCCTGACAGTATTTGAGGCTTTATTAATTATTTGAAATCATATCATTCCTACTCTGTCTGGTATGCTGAAATAAAGAGACATTGAAATATTTTGACTGGATGCTGTCATTATAGTACATGCACGTGCAATGCCATCTGTGTTTCTGTCCAGATTTGAAATTCCAGAGCCAAAATCGGCAGGGGAAGGGCATCCGAAAGCGGAATGCTTTACATCCATGGTCAGATATTTTTGAACAGTAACGATGGTTCCACATGTAGAGTGCTTGACCGATTTAGGGAAACTTGTACATACATACATGTACAGGTAGGCAGCAAATGCACTCCTTCCCTTGTAAAATAGATTGATTCCTTGTGCAAAACAGAGGGGGGGGAGACTGTTACATCTCAAAATAAACTGTGTAAATCACGCCGACTGTGCCCAAGTCCATCAATAAATCTTACAAACTGTCCGTTCCAGTTGGCAGGCAGATGTACATGTAGCCAGCACGGTAATTCTTGTCAGTGCAGAATGTTGGAATACTGCAGTATGTGAACAATGGGACATTTTCAACTTAGAGCAAATAATTTCCCCCCTCCCCAAAGGCTGTTGAAACCCAAATCAATTACAAAAGTATGTGTCCATTTCCCAGGAGGGGTTCCCCCCCCCACCAGGGCCTAAGGCATGATGAATATTTGGGAGATTTCATATTTCAAGAGTTTTCAATATTTCTTGTTACTGTTGATCTGCCATATGTATTTAGACGGAATCTATTCAGCTCTCTACTTCAATCCTTCACACTGCTTGATACCCAGCGGAACGTACCGTAAATATGAGACTTGAGGGTGAAAATATTGGTCCATGTACAATCAATGTGATGTACAATGTACTTGCGATTGATTTTAAGCGCGCGTAATTTATGGGCCTGTGTTTCGGAAGTACATTGTGGCTCCAGCGACTTCTGGTGCACATGTTCATGTGCGGTAACACGCACCATTAATGTGTCCCACTGCCCTACATTTCTGCATGTCTG